ACTGCCAACAGTGACGTGTATCCCTATACGCCATGCAGCAAACCAATAAACGTGGCGGCCACAAAATCATTCGTAAATCTAACTAATTATTTTTAGTATTTTCGTTGAATTTTTAGTACTTATGTTGTTAATCCCACTACTTTTCTTGTTTTTCTTTATTTAGCATCGACAACGAAGAATGGCGCGAATGTGAGCAGGAGCTGAAGCGATTCCTTGAAGAAGAACGAGCTAAAATGAAGGAACGCTCACTGCGTGTACCAACGCCATTTACATCGGACAAACTGGATATAATTAATATAGTGAGGGCTAGGTAAGATAATTTTTGTAAGACTCCATTACTGATGGAAAATATGTATACGTGAGGTAACAAGTTCACATATGTATGATTGTAAATACATATTTATACTTCAATACTTCTATTCCAAAAAGTTTCGAGCACCAAAAAGTGTACTATTACTCAAGTTAATTAAACAAAATGCGTAGTATTTTTCTGATTTTATTCACATGCCCAGACAATTTCCAAACATTAGTTTTGGTTAGGTTAAATTCCAGCCCGGTGATTATTCCACCTATACATTTTTTATGGTGTCCATTATGCTACCACTTAAAATGCTTTCCTTGAATGATAACCGTAGGTAATCCGTCTAAAGTTTTTAGGTAAGCACCGAAAGCTCAAAATGAAGTTCTGCAGACGGCTGAGGTCCACTCCAGAGAGCTCCCCGCTGCCTCGTAATTCCTCAATCAACTATGGCAATCGACATCCAAAACGACACCAAGTCATACGACATGGGTTCCCAATAGAAAGTGTCTGGTTATCACTCCCATCAAGGCCGAGAGTGATTGCTTAACCAGCTGAAGATTTTTTTTTTACTGCCCGCAGTCGACGACGGGCCAGAATAATTTTGTAGCTTTGCCCGGCGCGGTTTACGCACAATGCTCGCTGAGCCAATTGCGTATTTATATCTAAGTTCTTATAGATATTCAAGAGCAGTCCACAGGTGGGCACAGGGACTCCTATACCCTGTCAGCAAAGCTGGCCTTTAGGGTGTACTGCCTAGTCACCTCATAACCCACACAGTTTCCTACAAAGTCTTGTGCCCTTGGACTAGTGATGTCCTGAGTCAATACTTTTAAGTATTGATCGATATTCGGTACCGATTTAAAAAGTATCCAATACTCTCGATACTCGGTACGGAAATATTAAGGTTTCGAATAAAAGCGCACATAGGCCAAAAATATGGAGAAACGGTTCAGGGGAGACTCGTCTATCAAAACCCGAATGTAGGAGCCAATAGAGCTTTTAATACTGATTCAAATGAAAGATGTATATGTGTCAGTTCGAGGCTATAATGAAGAGAAACTCTTACTTGTTTGAAGCATTTTTGTTCCAGCTGAACCGGACGATATCATTTTTGTAGGCCTAGGGGCAGATTCTGTAACCAGTTAGCGACAATTTTTGAATCGGTATCGGTTTTGTTGACGTATGATATGAAATATTTTTACGTCAACAAGTGCGATATCGATACGAAACTTGTCGCTAACTGGCTACAGAATCTCCCTTCTGAAATGCTTCTTCATCCGTCAAAGCATTTTGCTTGAACCTTGCATCGATTAAGGTTAAAACTGATAAAAAAATATTTCTCTTTTGCGATAAGTTCAAGTGTTTTAGCCGATATCATTATAAATTAGTAATGAAAGTTTTTTCTAAACTTGAAATGCATAGAATGGTGAAGGTTTAATGTAAAGAATCGGTATCGGATACCGAAAAGGAAGTATTGGGTACCGAAATCTTTTTTAAGTATTGGGTATCGAGTATTGGGTACCGACAATTCAGCACATCACTACCTTGGACCCAAATCAGCCTGACTTGGAAGTATTTCGAGGTGACATCAACCAGTTTCGATTGTGCGAGGAGCGATCATAGAGCTTTAATCCTCCGAGTAGAAATTAGCTTTTTGAGCGGTATTACACTAGTTTGAACTTGATCAACCACCTCGTCCACTGATTTCTTAAATACCTTCCGACTAAAAGCGAGTTTCTGGCAAACCGCTTTCTGCTCTACACCCGTCTTCTACCCATTTGTAAATACACAACGGAACCTCTCTTCTGGAGGCTAACACTTTCCCATTCACATGCCTAAGGGATGTGTATAGTTAAGCATCCTATCAAAGTCACTACCGTGCAGTGAACTCATTAAACATTTGACCCCAACAATTTTTTATCCTACTATAATAATTATTATTGATTAGACTATTATTATTTTCTCGTATAATAGTTATGTCTCTGATTTTTATGTATCTTAGGAAAAAATTCCGTGAAGCCGAGCAACGCATTGTGAAACAATTAGAAGAGGGTGCTAAACAAACTCCCAAAGCTACAGATACCAAACTTGGCAAAGAATTGGCTGAGAAGACGGTGAGTGAAAAATGTCATTTATAACTTTTCAAGGTATATATGAATGTATGTGTGCGTATTTTGAATCAATGCCATAAAGAATTAAAGATTTTCGGAAGTTTTGCTTTGATGGTTAGTTTAAGTGGATTGCTACCCTGGTGACTAGCACTCAGCAATTTTTGCTATTTTAATTCCAAAACTCGTGTAAGCGACAGCGATTTGGCAGCTTTAATGAATTTCAGTACGTCATACAGAGATAAGCAGCTGCACTATGAAATATTCTGCAGGAATGGTTTGAAGAGTAAGTCATCAACCTCGCGGGGGCTGGGCACTCGCACAGAAAGTGTTCGACTCCTTTGAGCTGCGATAGAAATTATTGAAGAGTGCACTGATCCATTCAGAATGTACCCCAGTTTCCTGTGCGGACGACTATCAAGAGTTTTGTAGTTATTTTATTTGCTCATTCCTTAAAAAAGCCTGGTTTTAAGAGAGACATATCACACACAGAATAGCCGATCCTCTGTCCAGCTTTCGAATGATAAAGTGCGGCAATACTTCCCTTTATCTCCCTGAGCGAAGCAACCAGGCCGAGTTCGTGGGACACTTTCAGTTCATAGCCACCCCCACTAGTTCGTCCGCTGTCTCGTTACGGTCCTTTTTCAGGTTAATTTCGTATTGATCAGAAATCCAGGCCAGTACTCTCCAACAGTCATCCACTAGTTGAGATCTTACAGCGGTAAAAAAATGCCTGAATAGCCGCTTGGCTATCTGAGAACATATTTACTTACGCTTTCGCGGCTGCATTCGCTTTGATATAACTTACTGCTTCCTTCATTGCAAATGTTTCGGCCTAGAAAACGCTTGCGTGATCTAATTGGCGAATGGATAGCTCTGGGTTATATTTCTCAAAGGAAGTTCCCGCCAATTCGCCAACGCCGCATTCCATTTTTGACCCGTCCGTACAAACAGTGGAGACCTCCAAGAACTGGGCCGATGGCAGAACAACGCCGATGGCTGCAGACCAGCGCCCGCTAAGAGAGTATATATCGGATACACACAGTGTATAATTATTGATTTAATGCCTATTTGTTTCCTAACGTTTTCTTTGCTGCGTAGAGAGGCACCCAGGCCTTTCTTGCGCGCTCTTCAACGTTCAGCTTCGAACAACTCCCTTCACCTCGTTCGATAGATCCAGTTGCGATAACTTTGAAAGTTTTTGAAGTTCCACTTGGCAACTTTACAAACTATATTAGGGGAAGGTCATTTCCACAAGAAAGGAGTAATTTGCCCCTTGCAACAGTGAAAAGTGCATTTTGGCTTCTTTCTCCGTCACCTTCATATCTAGAATAAAGTCTTAAAGGTTTAAATAAAAAAAAAACAAGTTGTATTCAAGCGATTCTAAAACGATTTATTGAAGATGGTTGCCACCTGTTCAAAATTTTGAAGTCAACATAATTAACAAATTAGGCGAAATATTTTATTCTGGGAATACAACGAGAGAAGCTAAAGAAGACATTATTTCGAAAATGAGCGTTGCCACCTGCTTTGGAGGTCAAAATCAATTTAATCAAAAGTAAAAAAAAAAAATTATATGGGACTAAAACCAACGTAGACCTTCAAAGCTTTATTTCGAAGAAGGTATTAAAGAGGGTTGCCACCTATTTTGTAATTCAAAATCCATTTAATTAACAAGTTAAATATTTGCATATGGTATTGAAACGAGTGGGCTTTTTGAAAGGTTTATTTCGAGAATATTTCTGAAGACGACTGCCACCTGTTTAGAAATTCAAAATCCATTTTATTGAACCTTGGTTAGCTTACGAGCCAAATGTGTAAAAGCAGCTCTTTTTTTTAATGTTTGAGAGGCCAAGGATTAACTTGTTCCTTTAAAAGAAAAAATTGTTCAAGCCTTTTAAATGTGCTCACTAAGAAACGCACTTTTTTCTCAAAATTTCGGAAAATTTTTTATAAATTTTCGCCATTTCTCCAATGTCCGCAGGCTGTTATACAAAAGCATGTGCAAGACATCATACAAGCCGAAACCGAAGGCGCAGTTGAATCCGAAGGCAAGGAGGTAATCCGAGAACTAACCGACCGGGAAAAAGAGGACCAACTAAGACGAAAATATTTGGACGATGCTTCAGATATTTCCACCGAATCCGAGGTGCACGAACAAGGCAGCACCATAAGCGAATCGAAGCGACGACATGCAGCCGAGTTGGAAGAAGAAATGGAATTCGATGTAGAGCGTGGCTATCTAATCTCCAAAACACAATTTGAGCAGTTACGTTATCAAG